TGGGATGAAAATTATTTATAATGAAAAAAATGCGCTCATACCCACAAGGACTGTTTCTGGATGGAGGATGTGTATCGATTACAGAAAGTTGAATAATGCCACTAGGAAGGATTATTTTCCCCTTCCTTTCATGGATCAGATGCTAGAGAGATTGACAGGTCAGGCTTTCTATTGTTTTTTGGATGGATATTCTGGATATAATCAAATTGTGGTGGATCCGAAAGACCAAGAAAATACGGCTTTCACTTGCCCATTTGGAGTCTTTGCATACAGAAAAATGCCGTTTGGGTTATGTAATGCTCCAACCACTTTTTAGAGATGTATGCAGACAATCTTTGTAGATTTGATAGAAAAAAGCATTGAAGTCTTTATGGATCATTTTTCAGTGTTTGACAGTTCCTTCCATGAGTGTTTGTCTAACCTGGATGTTGTACTTAAAAGATGCACCCAATCCAATCTTGTTCTTAATTGGGAAAAATGTCATTTTATGGTAAAGGAAGGCATTGTCTTGGGTCATAAAATTTCTTCCAGGGGAATTGAGTTTGACAAAGCCAAAGTGGAGGTTATTGAAAAACTTCCACCACCAACCAATGTGAAGGGAATAAGAAGCTTTTTGGGACATGTTGGTTTTTACAGAAGATTCATCAAAGATTTTTCAGAGATTGCCAAACCCTTAAGGAACCTCCTTGTTACGAACNTATGAGGTAACATTGAAAACAATAGTATTCAAGGTTTAAAAAGTCATGATTGTAATGTATTTACGAAGACTTTACTCTCTATTGAATTTAGTTGTTTGCTAATGCACGTGTTAAATCCATTAATAGAAATCAATCACTTCTTCAAAGAACTTACTTGTATCGTGAGAGAACGTACTTTTGATAAGTCCCTAAATAATATATTCTATTTTAACATTTTTATTCTAAACTACTTTAATTAATCTTTATTGAATGCATGCGCAACAATTATTATAAATATTAATACATACTACACTTGCACCTAAAACAAATAACAAAAAATAAAATAAACATATATTATACACACAACATGAATCAAACACATGATAACCAATCCATAAGAAGAAGCTCTAACCATGTGTGCTACACTTACTTCTATTTAACATAGTATTCATTATTTTAATAAACATAGTTGATGTCCAAACCATCCTTCCATAAATTAATTTTTCCTAGATCTTACAAATAATTAAAAGTGGGATATATATTCATATGTTTGATAAAAGGAGATTGAGTCTTATAGTTGTAAGTCAAATCCTAAGTCCTCATTGTTTGTATTGTATGTTAAGTTTAATAATATTGATAATTAATGCTTACAAAGACCTCATTGTTCATTGTGTGTTTCTTTTATATGTACTTATAGTACGAGTAGAAGAACTTGTGTTGAATTAAGATGAAGATGGATATCTAGCTTTAAATCATAAAGAAAAGAAATTTTTGATGATGATAATTTATGAAGAAAAAGACTTGGATACAAAAATCATCTTGAAGACTTATAAAAAATGTGTTGAAGTCATAGCAATGTAATTTCTATGTTAGAAAAAGTTTAAATGGTAAGTATACGACAACTATAGAACAACTTCACCATTATCACCTTAGAGACTCTTTAAATTATCGTAAAAGTGTCTTTTTGTTGTGATAATTAGTTATCACTTTCAATGATCGATTAAAAATCCATTTCTGCGCTGAGAAAATTGATAATCTTTGAAATAATCGATTTTCCAGTAGAAATTTGTTTTCAAAATCATTTTCGAATAAACCATTATCATATGCATTAACTGATTATTCTAACCATTTTCTGAAATGGGCTTCTTCGAATTGGTTCAAAATGCAATTTTTTTTCTTATCAATTATGTAGACTATGTTTTCAAAAACAAATGTTAAAGTGTGAAATAAGTTTGTAATAAGCTTTGGTTTAGCCTAAATTGTTTTAAAAATGACTTTTAAGTTTCTTTAAGAGCGTTCTTGTTTGATAAGGTGTTGTTGTTGTTACTCTAGGATTTGAAGCTTGGTTCATCTCTTAAGGTTTGATAAGTGAAGTGATTGTGTTTTCAAGAGAGGGATTTATCATTCCTTGTGATTTATCAAGTAAGTGTTTTTCATCTCTTGTGGGTTCAAGATAAGTGTTTTCACATCCTTTGTTCATTTTGTGAAGGAAGTGTCTTTTCACTATCTTAACTATAATTTTGTATGTTTCATTTTGTATTAGTGGCCATAATATCAATTGCAAATAGTAATTTGTAATCACCCTCTTTGAGGTGATTAACCACTGGATGTAGGTAAAAATCTATAAAACTCTTTAACCACAATATGTTGAGTAAGAAATATTATTTCCTCTACTTTAACCTTTGATGAGTAAGAAGAAGAAATGAACCACATAATGAAGAAATTCACAAAGTTCATGAAGAACAAGAACAACAGTCAACACAAAAAGTATAAGAAGGTGAATCAAAATTTTGTCTCCAATTAGAAGTGATATGGATGTGGAGAAACTGGTATTATCAAATCAGGATACTCAAATCAAAAGAAAAGTGAGAAAAAAGAAAGATAAAAAATTTATGAAGAAAAAGAAAACCTACCTAGATTAGGAGGAAAATGACTTAAGCTTTTTTTCCAGTTCAAGTGACTCTAATGAAGAAGTAAATATTTTCTTAATGGCATACAATGAATCCATATATAGCAAAATTAGTAATTTGAGTGATCTAAATGAATATTATGAATTACATTACCAATGAGGAGCATTGGTATCTTGGAGATATTATAGTTTTGATGATGTTACGAGATGAAGACTTGAAAACTCTTGGTGTAGTTTCTTTAAAAGCATTTGCAGAATTAATTGTATAGGAATAACTCTATTTATGTAAGAACACTTAGAAGTTTTCCTATTTAGAACATGTTTGCGTAGATAATTGATAACGGTTGAAAATACCGTTATCTGTGATGTAATTTTGATACTAAATGCACCCTTTTTTTCTTAGAAACTTGTTTGGAATCATGTTTTTCTATTAAGTTGTGTGAATAAAAGAGTTGAGGTTGAATTTGATGATTTTATGACTAATTCCCTTTGTTTTGATAGAAAATGAGTTAATATGGAAAGCAGGGATAAAGTGTCAAGGAGATAGAGCTCAGAAAGGTTCAGAAAAAGCACCAGAAGGAAGGAAGCTCGAGGCTTGGGCGCCCTTTTTGGAGGCTTGAGCGTAGCAAACCACTGCTCGCCGCCTGGGCGCCCCTTTTTGGGCACTTGAGCGCCAACAACACGAAGCTTGGGCGTCCTCTAGAAGGCTTAAGCGCAAGAAGTGCCGCTTGCCGCTCGAGCTCCCCTTTTTGGGGCGCTTGAGCGCCGGATGTAGAAGGCTTGGGCGACCTCTGCGAGGCTTGAGCGTGGAAGACCACCGCTCGCCGCCCGAGCATTTAAAGGACTTAGGCATCCTAGGTTTGGTATCTCTGGTTGGAGCAGCACAACATCACACTCTTCCACTCTCTAAAGGCGGATTTGGATGCGAAAGCGTCCTTCCTCTACTTTTAGGGTTTTGCTCTCTCATGCTTTTCCATTATTCATCTAGTTTCTCCATGTTTATGGGGAACTAAACTCTATTTGTTGTTGAGGGATGATGTAACCTTGTGAACTCTCATGTATTTGAATTGATTCTTAATTCCATATGTTTTTTCATTAATTGTTAGAGTAATTCATTTGTGCTTATTACATGCTTTGTTTAACTTATTCGTTGCATGATTTATGAATTGCATGAGTGTCGGGAGGTTCCTTACAATTTAGGTTCTTGTTGAATTCTCCCAAGAGTAATATTTCTCAGGGATGAGGGTATGAGTCTTGGTTGTCTTAAGCTCTTGATTCACATTTAATCACTAGGAATGCTAGGAATTGCATGAACTGGTGGTTAAGGACATGCTTATTCGTCGTTGGATCAGGTTTAGGTGAATTAGTGAGTGACATTAACATTAATGCATAAAGAAGAATTCTTACATACATGAGAGGGAACTTGGTGAAATCTAACCCCAACAACATACACATCTCATTATAAACAACATCTGTTTATCATTGTGCTCGTTTGCTATTGATCAAACTGCATTCATATTTAATTTTTTGTCTTTGCATCTTAAACCAATGATATCGTTTTATTTAAGTCTTAATTAATCGAGTCATCGCACAACTGTTTAGTGTTGAGAGTCTTCTAGGATACGATACTTGGTCTTACCATGTTATATTATGTTTGCGATTTGGTACACTTGCCAATCCATCAACAAGTTTTTGGCGTCGTTGTCGGGGACTCACGGTTTAAACTATTCTATTTGTGTGATTCTTGATTAACTTTGACTTTATTTTTACTTTTATTTTTAATATTTATTTTTATTTGTGTTCTGTGTCAATTATTTTTGTTTTTGTGCTAATAGTACTTTCTAGGGTTTTGTGTCTAGTGTGCAGGATGCAATACGGACAAGCTAATTTCCACCACAAGTGGGAGTCTCACTCTAACATGGGATCAGATCAATTTGGACAAGCTGCCAAGCAACAACAATGGCAACAAAAATCCTCCCTCTCAGAAAGAATGGTTAAGATGGATGACACCCTTCAACAGTTAATGCAGGTGTCTGATTCTCATCATAAAATTAATCAAGCAGCATTCAAGAGGATAGAAAAGCAGCTTTGTCACATAATTCAAAAGCTGGATGATCTGGGGATTAACATGAAAGCTAACTCCAGGGAAGAATGCAAAATTGTTGTTACTAGAAGTGGAAAAGTTTTAGATGAGAGAAAAATAGAGAAAAAAGAAAAATAGAGATTGAGTGAAAAAGAAAAAAATTGAAAATGCGGGGGAAAAAGAAGAGAGTGAGAGAAAAGAAGAAGAGAGAGAAGAAAAGAAGAAAAGAGAGGAAGAGAATGAAGAGAAAAAGAAAGAATCATATGAAAAACTCCTTCCTTACCCAAAGAATTATTCTAGGAAGGAAAAAGAAAAACAGTTTGAGCGCTTCATGGAGAACCTCAAGAAATTGGAGATTAATATACCTTTCTCTGAGGCTCTGCAGCAAATGCCTTCATATGCTAAATTTCTTAATGAGCTCCTCACTAAGAAAAGGAAATACATTGAAGAGGAAACTATTGAAGTTCAAGGAAACTGTAGTGCTATCATACAAAAGCTCCTACCTCCTAAATTGAAAGATCTAGGAAGCTTCACTATTCCTTGTACTATAGGGAATATATCTGTTGGGAAGGCACTTATTGATTTGGGATCTAGCATTAATCTCATGCCGCTCTCCATGTTTGAAAAGATTGAAGGGTTAGAACTCAAGCCTACTCGGATGACTCTTCAACTAGCAGATAGATCTTTGAAATATCCTTATAGGGTAGCTGAAGATGTTCTTGTGAAGGTAGATAAATTTCTATTTCCAGTGGACTTTGTTATTATGGAGATGGAAGAGGATGCGAATGTACCTCTTATTCTTGGAAGACCTTTCATGAAGACTGCAAGAGTTTTGATTGATGTGGAAAATGACAAGCTGAAAGTGAGAGTGCAAGATGAAGAAGTAAATTTTGATGTTTTTTAAGCCATGTCTCACCCAAAGGATAACAAGGAATGCTTTCATCTTGATCTTCTTGATGAAATTTGCATGATACAAGAAAAGAAAGCAAGTAATACTTTTTCTTTGGAGGAGATGCTAGTTGATACCTATGAAGACTTGAATGAAAAAGAAGAGGAATTAATTGATGAGCGCTTGACTGAGTTGGAAGAAGATCCGTTACAAAAGACAGAAGGGATCAACACAAAAGAAAAGGTCAAGGAAAGCAAATTGAAGTTGAAGATGTTACCACCACACTTGAAATATGTGTTCCTAGAAGAAGGTGGGAATAAACCAATCATCATCAACAATTCTCTCTCTCCTAAAGAAGAAGAAAAGTTGGTTGAGATACTTAAAGCCAACAAAAGCGCTATTGGGTGGTCAATCTCAGATCTTAAAGGCATCGGTCCAACATATTGTATGCACAAAATATTCATGGAAGGTGATTACAAACCAGTTGCTCAACCACAAAGAAGGTTGAATCCAGTGATGAAGAAGGAGGTGAGAAAGGAAGTGCTAAAGTTACTTGAAGCAAGCATTATTTACCCTATTTCTGACTAGGTAAGCCCAGTACAGGTGGTACCAAAGAAAGGTGGGATGAAAATTATTTATAATGAAAAAAATGCGCTCATACCCACAAGGACTGTTTCTGGATGGAGGATGTGTATCGATTACAGAAAGTTGAATAATGCCACTAGGAAGGATTATTTTCCCCTTCCTTTCATGGATCAGATGCTAGAGAGATTGACAGGTCAGGCTTTCTATTGTTTTTTGGATGGATATTCTGGATATAATCAAATTGTGGTGGATCCGAAAGACCAAGAAAATACGGCTTTCACTTGCCCATTTGGAGTCTTTGCATACAGAAAAATGCCGTTTGGGTTATGTAATGCTCCAACCACTTTTTAGAGATGTATGCAGACAATCTTTGTAGATTTGATAGAAAAAAGCATTGAAGTCTTTATGGATCATTTTTCAGTGTTTGACAGTTCCTTCCATGAGTGTTTGTCTAACCTGGATGTTGTACTTAAAAGATGCACCCAATCCAATCTTGTTCTTAATTGGGAAAAATGTCATTTTATGGTAAAGGAAGGCATTGTCTTGGGTCATAAAATTTCTTCCAGGGGAATTGAGTTTGACAAAGCCAAAGTGGAGGTTATTGAAAAACTTCCACCACCAACCAATGTGAAGGGAATAAGAAGCTTTTTGGGACATGTTGGTTTTTACAGAAGATTCATCAAAGATTTTTCAGAGATTGCCAAACCCTTAAGGAACCTCCTTGTTACGAACGCCCCATTTGTGCTAGATGAAGAGTGCCTTAAGGCGTTTGATGTTTTGAAGAAAAAATTGATTTCTGCCCCAGTTATTGTAGCTCCTAATTGGAATCAAGATTTTGAGCTGATGTGTGATGCCAGTAATTATGCCATAGGTGCTGTTCTTGGCCAGAGAAGAGAGAAGGTATTTCACACTATTTATTATGCAAGCAAGGTTTTGAATGAAGCCCAGTTGAATTATGCCATCACAGAAAAAGAATTTCTTGCTATTGGGTATTGCCTTGAAGAAATTTAGACCTTATCTCATTGGGTCTAAAGTGATTATCTACACTGACCATGCAGCTATAAAGTACTTACTAACCAAGCCGGATTCCAAGCCGCGATTAATCAGATGGGTACTTTTGTTACAAGAATTTGATATGGAAAATCGCAACAAGAAGGGAAGTGAAAATGTAATTGCTGATCATTTATCCCGGTTGGTTAACAGTGAAGTCACAAGCAAGGAAGCAGAAATTTAGGAATCTTTCTTAGATGAAACACTCACGTACATCCAACAAAGGTCGTGGTTTGCTGATATGGCTAATTTCAAAGCTGTAGGAGTAATCCCAGAAGATCTCAATTGGCAACAAAGAGAAAAAAAATTGCATGATGCCAAACAGTTCATTTGGGATGATCCTTACTTGTTCAAAATTGTAGTAGACAACCTTCTGAGGCGTTGTGTGACTAAGGAAGAAGTGGAAGGAATTTTATGGCACTGTCATGACTCACCTTATGGGGGACATTTTAGTGGAGAGAGAACAACTGCAAAAGTGTTATAGTCAGGATTTTATTGGCCTACCTTGTTTAAAGATGCTCATAATCATGCCAGGAACTGTGACAAGTGTCAAAGGACAGATACTATTTCCAAACGTCATGAAATGCCACTACAAGGCATCCTACAGGTTGAAGTTTTTGATTGCTGGGGCATATACTTTGTTGGACCTTTTCCACCATCTTTCAATAATGAATACATACTGGTGGTAGTGGATTATGTGAGTAAATGGGTTGAAGCTCTAGCTTGTCCCAAGAATGATTCTAGCACTATGATTAAATTTCTGAAAAGGCAAATTTTCTCCCATTTTGGAACACCCAGAGTACTCATCAGTGATGGAGGATCTGATTTTTGCAATTTTCAGCTTGTAAAGGTACTCAAGCATTATGGTGTGAGACACAAGGTAGCTACACCTTATTATCTACAGACAAATGGACAAGTCGAGGTTTCTAATAGGGAAATAAAGAGGATTCTAGAAAAGATAGTTGCTTTATAATGAAAGGATTGGTCTCAGAAGCTAGATGATGCTCTTTGGGCATATCGAACTACAATGAAGACAACTATTGGATTATCTCCTTTCCAAATGGTCTATGGAAAGGCATGTCACCTCCTGGTGGAGATGGAACATTGAGCTCTGTGGGCCTTAAAATTTTTGAATTATGATCCTAGTGACACTGCAGAAAAGAGAAGAAGGCAAATTGTTGAGCTTGAGGAAATGCGGCTACATGCCTATGATTCTTCTAAGAATTACAAAGAGAAGGTGAAATTTTATCATGATAGGAAGCTGATAAAAAAGGTCTTTAATCCAGGACAACAAGTGTTGCTGTTTAATTCCCGACTAAAACTTTTCCCTGGAAAGTTGAAGTCCAAGTGGTCTGGTCCGTTTATGGTCAAGAATGTCCTTCCACATGGAGCAGTTGAGTTGACAAATCCATCCTTTGCAGACCCACAAAGAAGTTGGATGGTCAATGGACTACGTCTCAAGCATTATTTGGGTGGTGAGGTGCAACGCCTTTCCACTGTTATGGAGTTGGTTGATCCACACTGATTTTATGGTGTCAAGCTAGTGACATTAAAGAAGCGCTTACTGGGAGGCAACCCAGCTTTCTAAACCTTCCTTTTTAATTATTCGTTTTGTTATTGTACTCTGCTTGGATAAATTACACTGCTTTTGTCCAATTGCTGTGTTTTGTGATAAGTACTGCTTTGTGATGCTCTGGTGTGTTGATTGATGTTGAGATGATGCATGATTTGCTAATATAAGGTGATGACTCACAGTGTATAAAAAGGTGCTTGAGGTAAAGTTTGATTAAGATACTGAGCAGGTTATTTTTCTGAATTCTGGAACTTGAGAGTTTACCTGTGTGAGTTTTGGGCTTCAAAGTTGTTGTGAATAATTGCTATTACTTTGGAAGCATGAATGATTTTGCCCAAATTTTATGTGATTGAACTACTTGCTTGCAGGTTTCATATGATAAAGGCTATCTTTTGTTATCCCTTATTCTTTTAGCATTCACATGATTTTATCCACTAACAAGAAAACAAATTGTTTTACCCTTTGAACCTTGAGCCTTATGCATGTTTTGAAAACCCTTTGTGAAAATATTTACCTTGAGTTAAGTTGAGAATATTTGTGAGGTATTGATAAATGTTCAAGTTTGGTGTTATTGGGAAAATTGAAAAGAAAAAGCATTGAGCTTAGTAGTGAATACTTGAAAAGAAAAAGAAAAATAAAAATAAAAATGAAAAGAAAAGAAAAGAAAAGCTCAATGCAAGGGAAAGCTGGGAAAAAGAGAGTTTGTGCTTGAATGATGAAATTATAAATGTCTCTCTTAACTCAAGCATTTTGTTGACTAGAAAAACTAATTTCCTTCTTAGCCCAGCCAAGTTACAGGCCATGAAAAGCCCTTGTGATGACAACTTGCTTGTGAGTATGTTTAATAGTGGCTAAATGAAAGGTAAACTTAATTTGTGTGACATTATGATAGCAGAGTGAAAAAGACACCAACACCTCACTATACACCTGTGAGTTGAGTGATACATTTTTGAGTGCTTGGGTGATACACTTTTGAGTGCTTGAGTGAAACACTTTCTTTGGTGAGGAATAGTTCTCTGAATTTCTAATTGCATCTCTGCTTGGTTGATTAATCATTATTAAGGATAACATCAGTTGAAGTACATGAGCATCACACTCATTTTAATTGAATAAGGCATTTGTACATCTTAACTGACATTTGTATGCTAAGTTGATC